CAACTTTTCATTTTCCGTCGATCTTAGTACACGATGTAACTATACAGAAGAGTCAAGTTTTAAATAGGAAAAATATAGAAACTCTTTGGTCATTTTTGGGCGAGATGCTAACGGTCTAATCAGATTCAATGATCTATGCTAAGCTAAGCTAAAAGTGCTACCGCCAGACCCGGAGATCGGCTGAATGGATTCGAAAACTGTAAAACCCAACTGTTTAACTCTAGGGGAGCTGGAAAATGAGCCTAAATAGTGGAGTGTTCTTTTAAAGATTTAAACAATATACTTAAATGTGACCCTGGACCACAAAACCAGTCTTAAGTGTCAATTTTTCAAAATTGAGATGTATACATCATCTGAAAGCTGAATGAATAAGCTTTCCATTGATTTATGGTTTGGCTGAGATACAACTATGTGAAAATCTGGAATCTGAGGGTGCAAAAAAAATCAAAATATTGAGAAAACTGCCTTTAAAGTCCAAATGAAGTCCTTAGCGATGGATATAACTAATCAAAAATTAAAAGTTTTGATATATTTACGTTAGGACATTTACAAAATATCTTCATGGAACATGATCTTTACTTAATATCCTAATGATTTTTGGCATTAAAGAAAAATCTATCATTTTGACCCATACAATGTATTTTTGGCTATTGCTACAAATATATCTGTGCTGACTACTTATGACTGGTTTAGTGCTCCAGGGTCACAAATAACAATATGAATTACAGCAGGTTATGGGTGAGTTTGTACCTGTACTCGGGCTCGGACCACGTCCATGGGGTTGGTGAGGGTGGAGGCTGTAGCTGCAGCCATCGGTCCCGCCACGGCCTGCAGGAGGAGGTGCGGACAGTCCACCGGAACCAGTCTGGAGAGCTGCTCTGCAAAGAGAGAGAGAGAGAGAGATAACTTTATTGTCACTGTACATGTACAGTGAAACTCTGGTGGAGGTGCCTTCTGCACACATATTATACACTAAAGACTACCATTAAATATACATAATACGCTATACAATCCAATACGCTTTACACAATGCAATATACAATATACACAACATGCTATACAACACAGTACACAGAGGACACATAACATAAGACAACAGATGTGCATAAATGTAAACATTATGTGTGCGAAAAATAAACATGATTTATTTTATTTTACATTAACATTATTGCAATTAAGCAGGAAGTGCTGAGGTAGTGTAGTTGACATCTTGACCATGATAAATGAGATTTTACACAATGAAATACAGCACAGTAAGGTGACAAGGCAGTATGTGGGGAAGATTGTCACTGTACATGTACAGTGAAACTCTGGTGGAGGTGCCTTCTGCACACATATTATACACTAAAGACTACCATTAAATATACATTATACGCTATACAATCCAATACGCTTTACACAATGCAATATACAATATACACAACATGCTATACAACACAGTACACAGAGGACACATAACATAAGACAACAGATGTGCATAAATGTAAACATTATGTGTGCGAAAAATAAACATGATTTATTTTATTTTACATTAACATTATTGCAATTAAGCAGGAAGTGCTGAGGTAGTGTAGTTGACATCTTGACCATGATAAATGAGATTTTACACAATGAAATACAGCACAGTAAGGTGACAAGGCAGTATGTGGGGAAGTGATTGAGGTCTCTAGGTCCATGTGGAAGGTGGGGTGTTCAATAGAGCGAGTGCTCTGAGGTCAAAACTGTGGAAACACATGAGCCCACGGGATTTATGTTACAAAGTAAGAGCATTTATCAAGTAACATTTCAGTTCACCGAAACTTCGGCAACCGAAAATATATTGGAGAACCGAAATCACTGGTCGATACCACAGTTTAATTAGCGCTTCTCCACAGGCGCGTTTTGACTGTCTTGTTTGTGCTTTGTTACTAGTGTCAATATGAAACAATGTCTGAGTTTTCAAATTCTGTCAATCTTATCATAAAATTCAAACAACAAATGTCGTTTTGTCGCACTTTAATGTGAATCCGCCATCTCTTCCTCTTTTTGATCATTAAAGTATGAAAAATAAACATGAATGAACATCAGAGATTATATTGAAAGAAAGAGTTTAAGTTACTGAAATATGAAAAATATATCAATCAGTGTTTTGGAGATGAGCATCGTCCAAAATAAATGCATTATAATACATACTGATATTACGTTTTTAATATATATTTTACCTAACTTGCAGTCGTCATTATTTAATGTATGTTTGAATAGTAAATGTCACATAGATTTTATTATATAATATATATTTTATTACCTTTCAAAGATACTGATTTTCAATATTAAACATTAAACAAATAGCCGACTGAATATTACAAATTCAGGATATAGTTTACTTAACCTGTTTTCAGAGTTTGAATAAATCTGTTATCAATGTTTTTATGACGGCTGTTTAAATGTTTATATTTCAACAATGATAATGACTGGATAATTGTATCATTAAAAAGTTCATATAAAAACTTAACATCAACTTGTTCATTCTTTTTAGTATTAAAAATGTGTTCTTATCATGGTTGGTTATTTTTTAAAAGTTTATAATGGTTATTTTTTATATGTTTTTAAAGACAACTCTTATTTGAGTGCTGATTATTAAATTCATTGTATTAATTCATTGATTATTAATTACACTTTCTTTTCAATTAGGTTTTCAGCTAAATTAATGCTTTAATATCAGTTTTGGTGTTGGGATCCAATTTTTTCTCCGTCATTAAATATGTGACTCTGGAGCACAAAAGCAGTCATAAGTAGCACGGGTATATTTGTAACAATATCCAACAATACATTGTATGAGTCAAAATTATCGATATTTCTTTTATGCCAAAAATCATTAGGATAATAAATAAAGATCATGTTCCATGAAGACATTTTGTAGATTTCCTACCGTAAATATATCAAAAAGTAATATGCATTGCTAAAGACTTAATTCGGACAACATTAACAGCGATTTTCTCAATATTTAGATTTTTTTGCACCCTCAGATTCCAGATTTTCAAATAGTTGTATCCTAACCAACCATACATCAATGGAAAGCTTATTTATTCAGCAATTTAAAAAAATTGACCCTTATGACTGGTTTTGTGGTCCAGGGTCACATATTTTCTTTACCTGCATAAAAGTGATAAAACGGCCACCAAATGGCGCTGTTGGGTATATAGGTGAGGAGCGATGCCACATATCCACGATAAAAGCCCCGAAATCCATCCGCGTGAAAAATCTGCACCGCAATGTCTCTGGTCTGGCCAAACGTCACTTTGTGCTTGGATGTGGCCATCACCATCTTGGACTTGAGTTTGAAGCGTGTGAGCTGACACCCCTGACCCTGCACCATCAGCTGCTGGGACACCACGTCGATGGGCACCGTGATGCTTTGGGCCACCAGCGAGGCCGCGCCGCCCGCCACCAGAGACTTGATGGTGTTACTGGACGAGTAACAGGACACGTGTCTCCTCACCAGCTCATAGGTAGTGATGTAGGCCTGACCTGAGATCAGCGTGAACGTGTTGACCATGAACCCTCGGTAAAGGCCACGCGTCCCCTCGGCCTTCAGAATCTTCCAGAAGGCGTCGAAGGTGCCGTTATAGAGCGACTTCCCCTTCTGGACCTGCAGTCTGGTGCGGATCAGGGTGAATGGGTAGACGGCGGCCCGTGTGGTCATGGTCATGAAGACGCCCAGAGAGTAGAACTTCCTCTTGTCCAGATCCTCCCACTCGATGATCTGAATGTTGCGCTTCTGTTGCATCATTGCGGTCGATGACCTCACACACAAAATCACGCGCGCACACACTCACTCCGCTCCCGCTCGACCTGAAATGACAAAATCACAACAGTTCCAATAAAACTGCAGATCTGAAGGTACAGAGTTCAAAGGTCATGTGACTGCAGGGTTATGCCATAATCATATGCTCTGCAGAGATAATTTCTTGACACGTGTAAACACAAAAGCAGATATTGAACATCTGAAATCTATGAAATATGCACATTTTTATTACAGTCTTTATTTTTGTTATATGAAGGTTTGTAATATAAATGAACCTTTCAAATGCAGTTTATGTATAGATTGTATTGCTTAACACTTGTCCATGACCAAGATTTACAATCTTAAACGTTAAACAGTCAACTTTAATGGGATGAAAATATATTCATTTTTAATAATTATATTATTTAGTAATATAAATGCATTGATTTCTGTTACAGTGAAGAAGATGAACAAGTTTACTGTGAGCAGTCTGAGCACAAAACAAAATAATTTTTAAAGTAAAACAATTATAAAAAGTAAAATAAAACAACATCCATCATAAAAAATATACTAAATAAAAAAGAATTACATTTTATAATGTAAATCGAAATGTAATGTAAATCTCTCATTCTAAAAATGCCACACATTCTCCAGGATTATACCTGTCAAAATAATAATAATAGTAAAAATAATTGTCATAAATGTTTGTTTTTAAATGATATCTTTATTGTTCCAAAGTAAACATTCAAAATATTTATAGCATCACATTTGGAATTAATTAACCAGAATAATAGGGCTTGGCAAAATTGCATTAGATTATAAATTAAATACCACCAACCATTTAAAAAATAAAACACATTTTTATTCACAAAATTAATGTAGTGTGTATATGAAGCATTGCATATTTGTTACCATGAACAACACGTAAATCAGAATGTTTCTAAAATCTTAATTTTTATATTAATTTCTAAATCACTAGAATGCCATACTTTGCACAGAATTATACTTCTTGAAATAAATAAATATATATAAATATATATATATATATATATATATAAATGTTCTCTGTTGTTCTAAAGTAAACATTAATGAAGAGAAAATCATAGCATTATATTTAGAATTAACCAGAAAAATAGGGCTTGGCATTTAAAAATGAAACATTTTTATTACTAAAAAAAGAATGTAATCCTTTCATATTAATCTGTAAATTACTAGAATACCACGCATTCCTCAGGATTATACCTGTCAGAATTAAAACTAAAGTTTTTAATAAATATTTATTTTTTAATTATACCGCTGTTGTGCCAAAGTAAACTTTAAAGAGGAGACAATTATTATTATATTATATTATATATTATAATATTTAGAATTAACCTGATGACAAAACCTGTTTATAACAACTGGGATTTAGTCAATGGAAGAATTGCATTAGAGTAGAAATTGTTGTTACTGAATTTTGAGGGACCACACTACCTTGATGCAGCTCTTTTCATATTTGACATGCATGATCATAAATAGCCAGTGACAGATGTAACAGACACCCTTTCTTCTGTCCTCCATTAGTTATTTGGCTCTGACACAGAGCTGAATGTTTATCAGTCATTGTGACCTTTTCATGGTGAAGCTGCATGGTATCTACTGCACATGCGCATTACACAAGACAATATACCCCTGAAACAAACAGCAGCTTCTGTTGTGTCCCTCCCCTCGCCCAGCAGATGTACAGGACACTTCATTTGACCTCTCAGACGCGCTAACTCACCCGGTTAGCTCGCCATGTTTGCTGTTTCTCCATCCAGCGGCCTCAAGCGGAGCAGTGCGGTCCTGTCATGAGAGAACCCCGCTATTATGCCTCTATAAACCGCATTGTGTCTGATCGATTCGCGGCCTGCAGCTCCAGACAGAAAGTCATGCCTATCGAGTCGAGCACGAGTCCTCCTCCACACTTCCGGCGCATGCTCGAGCGTCACTGACCGCTGCTGCCTGTTGATTGGTCAGTGACACAGGAGGAGCTGTTTGATGATTGGGCGGCGATGTGTGCCATACAAGCTGTTATTTATTTATCTATACATGAACAAAATCAAGAGAAATGTTGAATTTTTTTATTATTACATTGAGCAACATGCATAAGTTTACATGATTTAATTATGATCCGGCACATTTATTATTATTATTATTATTATTATTATTATTTTGTATTGTATGTTTTATATGTAATAAATACAACATAGATAAACATTATATATAAACTTTAACAATATTATCTAATATTACTTTAAATGTAATATAACACCATTATATAATGTTATGCAAAATATTATATTATATATTTTATATTTATTATATATTTATATAACTAATATATATATACAACAAGATACACTTTACAAGTATAAAGTGTTGCAGCATTATTGCTTAAAATAATTTATGAAATGTACATGTAGACAGGCATTTCTGTGAACTTATTTCTCATTTGTATATGCATATAAACATAAACAAGAAAATTTTTTGCAGTTTTGTTGCAGTTAACCATACGAACAAGTTTACATTGTTTTAACAAAAAGTAAAACAATTTTGTATCTACTTACAAAACTTACAAAAAGTAAGATACATTTAAAAATAAAAAGGTGTTAATAAAACAACACAAAAGAAGAAAAATCGCTACTTTCCTATTTAGATAAAAATCGCACGTACAAAACAACAAACGTTTGAAAAAATATTGCTTGAAATAATTTCTGAAACGAAACAGACTAAATGGTTTGTATTTATAGTAATGTATGAATATTAATGTTAACACGCGCGCGCGCGCATACACACACACTTAAAAATGATAAATAAAAATACATTTGATGTCTTCAGACATTTACACTAGTAAATACTGTCGATATAAAGTATTTAACATTATTAATATAGATAGGATCATTAAAAAAAATAGATAATCTCTATATCCACTTGGATATCCATTATATTAAGATTTGTTGATAAACCAAAGTGATGAAAAATAGTGTAGGAGCAGCGTTGGGGAAAGTTACTTTTAAAAGTAATGCATTACAATATTGCGTTACTCCATAAAAAAGTAACTAATTACGTTACTTAGTTACTTTTTATGGAAAGTAATGCGTTACGTTACTTTTCTGTTACTTTTTAAATCTGGACAGGGGTTGCTTGTTTGTTTTTAAAATAAATAAGTTATATTTTGGGCAAACATAAAAGCCTTTTCACACCAAAAGTGAAATGAATAAGCCTCAGGCTGAAGGGAAAGTCAATTTACATCCGTACAGTAGAATGCAGAAGAAGACATTTCAACACACTTCAGCAATAAACAAAGACACAAATGTTTGTCTAGAGTAATTTGTGTTTATTAGTACGGTTGAACTGGATCATCGAAGGTCAGAAGCAAAGACAGGCTGAAGGGAAAGTAAATGTACGTCCATACAGTAGAATGCAGAAGAAGACATTTCAACACACTTCAGCAATAAAAAGAGACACACAAATGTTTGTCTAGAGTAATTGTTGCTTATTATTACGCTTGAACTGGATCATCGAAGGTCAGAAGCAAAGACATTGCTTAACAGAATGGGATTAAATACATAAAGCATATGTGTGTTGTTTAACATTTAATTGTTGCAGGTTTGTGTCATATTCTATATTCTGAGTTGCATTATTTTTATTCATTTTGAGGAATACTGAATCTGTGTTTTTTTTTGTGAGTGAGATTAATGCATATTCATATTTATTTTAGAACTACAGTAACATCTTCTGATTTCTCTCAACATGAGGACAGGAGAGCTGTCAGTCAATACATTGGGGGAAAAAGGTAACTTGCATTACTTATTATAAAAAAGTAACTCAGATATTCTCTTGTAAATTAAAAAGTAATGCGTTACTTTACTAGTCACTTGAAAAAAGTAATCTGATTACGTAACTTGTGTTACTTGTAATGCCAACACTGTGTAGGAGATACTATTTGTTGATTGGACGACGCTGTGCGAGATCCTGTACTCTGATTGGACAGTCCTCCAGGGAGGTACTGTTTGCTGATTGGCTAGCTGAGTTGCATTATTTTTATTCATTTTGAGGAATACTGAATCTGTGTTTTTTTTTGTGAGTGAGATTAATGCATATTCATATTTATTTTAGATCTACAGTAACATCTGATTTCTCTCAACATGGGGACAGGAGAGCTGTCAGTCAATACATTGGGGACAAAAAGTAACTTGCGTTACTTATTATAAAAAAGTAACTCAGATATTTTCTTGTAACTTAAAAAGTAATGCGTTACTTTACCAGTTACTTGAAAAAAGTAATCTGATTACGTAACTTGTGTTACTTGTAATGCGTTACCCCCAACACTGTGTAGGAGATACTATTTCATATATGGACGACGCTGTGCGAGATCCTGTACTCTGATTGGACAGTCCTCCAGGGAGGTACTGTTTGCTGATTGGCTAGCTGTCGTGGCTCGCGCGAGTGGAGTCGTGTTAATATTAGGAGTCATCATGGCGCTCGATTCGCCTCAGTACGGTAAGGGCTGTTTTTACTGACAAAAATAACATAATTGATCTCATTTACGCTCTGATAGAGGTGTATATAACCGGTTATATGCGAAGTCACAATTGTGTGTTAAAACAGCCCTTAAATAACCACTTTTAGAAGGAAGAAAGAGGCGGTTTTGTCGTTAGCAGTGCGGCTAGCAGCGAGAGAGCGACTGACATCCAGATCGCGTGCTAACATGCAGCTCACGCGACCACAAACTGATGTGTATCGAAAGCTAGTGAAATGCACACCTTGAAAGCAACTGTTTTATGCGTATAGGATGCCAAAAATGTTGTCTAGGCAGGCAGCTCATTAAGCATTGAGACGGCCTATTATGTACAATGCTCGATTATTAGACATTGTTTACAATAACACATACGGTACTGCCATGCTTTCTGGACATGTATCATGATTTTCCGTTGTGTTCTTACTTTGCTGTACAATGTAAATACTATAGTATGTGAATATGATAATCAACATTCTTTTATGTGTATATATTTGATTTGACGTAGTATTACTGTCGTTTATTATCACAATATCATGGTTAGAGCAAAGCATAGTCTTTCTCTGTATTCAATAAATAATACATTATATAACAAAACCTCTTTATCTTAATATGAGGTTGTTCTAACTACTGTAAAACGTTCATACATGGCCCCAAAAGGCTAGTGTCTTAAAATGAACTTGAAAATTAAGTGACCTGTATACATTGTGTGAACCAAATATCCCCTAAATGCTTCTTTTGGAAGTAAAAAGTGTATAATTATAATTAACTGTGTATATATGTCAGTGAACTGATCCTACTGTAATCTGATTGGCTGTTAGCAAGAGTGTTATTTACTTTTCCCACCCAGTGTCTTTATCTTCCTGTAATAAATGTAGATCTGGGATTTGTGTGTTCGTTGGTGGCGATGCAGGTTTGTGTTCTTTGCTGCAGTTTCTGTTTAATCTGAACTCATCTAACCTAATCTAAGGCATGCAGCAGGCAGCAGATGCAGGCTGTGAGTGATAAGTGTGTGTCTGTGCATGGTTATCCACCACACTGTGTCACAATATACTGCAAGCAATACACTGCTGTGCAGCAGCACTAGTGTGTTTATATCATGCCCAGTAATGAGGATTTTGATCTTTCTTTTTTCAGTGAACTGTCAAACCTTCTGCATGGATAGTTTACATTCTTGTCTCTTTTTTTTGTGTCAGAATTTCTTGAGACAGCATGCAGATCTAGACTGCAGCAGTGCTAGTGTTACTTTAACACAGCCTGTTTCTGTTGTGTGTGTGTATTAGGGTTTTTAGTCTGTGAAAGACTATTTGATCAAACAGATTCGACCTTCTTTGAATGCAATTTCATGAGAACCTACCAAATTAATGAATAATTATTATATGCATGTTGACATTATTAAAATAACATCTATTTCCAACAACTTTAAAAATATACATTTATTATTTATTACATAGGCTACTTATATATAAAGTTTGTTCAAAAGTTATTTTTTTCTGTTTTTGAAAGCAGTCTCTTATGTCCACCAAGGCTACAACTGTTTGATTAAAACTTTTTAGTTTTTTGGTTGAAAGCTAAATTGAAACATAATAAATGTCTTTACTGTCTTTACTTTACTGTCTTTACTTTACTGTATTTTAATAAAAGTGCATATAGATAGATAGCGAGAGAGATAATAATAGAATTTAAATAATAATAGAAGTGTATTTTAACAGTAGACTACTTGGCAACACACAACAATGGACAAAATGCCTATTTTTTTTCTAGTTTTGAATAGAAAATAGTCCGGTTCTTTAGTTACAGAAGTGACGTGAAAAGGGTTTATCATTGTCCTCAGTATCCAAAATGTTTTTTGCTTCTAGGCACAGCTAGGAAATGCAAATGCTAAATTTGCAATTGTGTTTGAATTTTGATCATAATATGCTTCTATAAATGACAGTGTCTGGCTTTGAACCTCGAGCATATCATTTTCATTATCTCTTTCTCTTGTTGCTAAATTTTTGGTGCATTCCTAAATGAAATGTTCACATGTTATTTCATGCTTGTGTATCTGCCCTAAACGGCTGTGAATTGGGCTTGTAACTAAGCTCTCAGTACTCACTTCCAACACAAGTCTCACAGCTGTACACTTGTGCCTTCTAAAGGGGGCTTTAGGAGGGAAGAGGTGCAGGCCTGCGAACAAGAGGCGTTTAAGAGAAGATGCTCTCTCTTTGAGTTATATGAGCCTGGCAGGTGTTGGACTGCTGTAATTTGGGCCAGTTTTGATTGTTTGGTTGTTGCAGGTGCACATTACTCAGACACAGCCAAACCCGAACCCAGATCAGATTAATGAGTTTCAAACACACAAGCCATTCTTTTCCTGTCACAGTTACACAAATGACATTCATTTTTCAGCTCAAAAATTCTCAATAAGGTTCTTTTATTCTGTACAGAACATCCATTCGGCCATTTGATCG